TCACAACACCAGAAAATCATTTAGTGATAAATTAACAATTAACTAACAATTTATTCTATAACTAAATGATTTTCCGGTATTTTAACGAATTTTCTTTCAAACCATTATAATTAAATAATTTTTATTAAAACTCATGAATTTCTGAAACTGATTATTACGCACCCATATTTTTAAACGACATAGTTTATTTTTTCCAAGAAGATTAACGACTGACATGACGAGGCTACGGGATTGGGATTACTAATTTTAATGAAACTTTTTTGGTAGTACTAGGTCGAAATATATTGGATTCATGAATAAGTGTTCTTGCCAACTACGCCATGAGAAAAATTTACTAATTTTTTTAGTATGGTTTTCTCTTTTCGTTGCACGTATACTTAAATGTTATATGTAGGTATGTGTGGTGTTTAGTGACCGTTAGCCAATGATTATTTGGAGATCGTGAGGTGCGGTCTGGTGTGACGGAGGTTTTAGAAAAACATTTTCTTTATTATGCCAACGTTTCGATCTTTATTGAGATCATTTTCAGGAGAGTGCCCTCTCAACACGAAACACAAGCATGACACATCTACACTCTGAACACTGAAGATGATCTCAATAAAGATCGAAACGTTGGCACGATAAAGAAAATGTTTTTCTAAAACCTACGTCCCACCAGACCACACCTCACGATCTCCAAATAATCTGTTATATATTGGTAGATTACAGTTACAAAAACGAAAAGACGCTTTCAGTAATATTTTTTTGGAAAAAATTGGGGTTTGTTTTAAGTACCAGCTCTTATATACGAATATATTCTTTCTCCCATGTCTGGTGTTCCACTTAATGTGTAAATGAATAACTATTCGGGATTTTACTAAATTCGAAGATTTAACAACCGCTGGAATGCTGAAAGATAATTGGTTAGCCTATGTTAACGACGTATAGATTTTAAGTCGTTGAATGCGAAAAATAAGTATAAAATCCACAAAAACGTTGTGTTTTTTTAAATCTACAGTCATTTTTTAAAGAGACAATATTTGTGCTATATATGTAGTTTCGAAACCCCCGTACGTTTCCCGTGTATCAGTGGACTCGTTTCAAATTTTTGTGAAAAAATTCGGAGCATTTGGAAGGTAAAAATTTGAACAAAATTTATCGTTTCTCCATGAAATTTGTATTCCGGGATTTTGGAGGTTCAGAAAACGAGTAATAACGAACTTTATTTCTTTTTGAATTTTTTAAAATATACTTTCTAGAAACACAAAAAGTATCAACCTATCGGCAAGCAAATTCGAGTTATAAATATGTAACTATTGCGTAACTAAGCTAAGTAGCAAAAGTTAAAATATTTTTTTGAACAATGTTGACAGTCATTTTTTTCACCCCAATAAACCCCAAAATACAAATTTTTGGGAAAATTAAAAACAACAACAATTCTTTCAAATTAATCGCCTCCCAAATGCAACAATTTTTTTCTAAAATGTACAAACTTCTTTTTTATCAAACGTAAGAAGTTTTCTTTTAAAATATGTTAATTTTTATTATGAAGAACAGTTGGTTTCTTTGCAAATAATTTATTTCAGAATTTATTTGCTAATTATTAATTTACATGTCCGATCAACTCTTGGGCCATACATTGAATTATCTGGATATATCCCGTCCCACGTTTTCCCAACTTCCAACTGAAATTGCCCTTAATTAGGCTGCTCATCAAAAAATCAAAAAGAGGTTTCAAATATATCGTTGGAAAACTTATAAAATGTTGACATTTTTTAAAATCTAATGTAAAAGAGCTACGGTTTAAAGAAGTTGTTCCAAAATTACCAATTTCGTGATGTTCGTATTTTGTAAGTAAACTCGCAATTTTAGAACATAAGTGGATTAATCTAATAGGAAATTCGGTTCTAAAGCTAAAAGACGAGGTCTAAAGTTGTAAAAAGTTACGTTAGAAAATTCTGTTTTTATGTAAAGAAACGTGCTTTTTTCCATAAGCACTAAAAAAATTATAACTTTTGAACGGATTGAGATAAAACCATGAGGTTTACGGCATTCTCATCCTGTTTACAGATACTGTGTCGGAAAAGTTTTTTAACTAGACGAGCTGATCGCTGTATATTCATCAATCAATCAACAGAAAGTAAATAAATACCAACTCACATGCTGTGGTCCGATTTGGTGTCGAATCGCAATTGCTCTCAGTGTGGCCTATTTGCCACCACGGCCCGTCAGGAAACACGGTTTAAAGTTCCTCACGATTCAACGTCACTGTAAAATGCCCGTCGTGAAAATCCGTCGTTTACAAACTGAGCGAAATCGCCAAAAATGTATTCGAATCAGCAGCTTTTGTTGTTGTTTTTGGTTTTAGCGGTAAGTCTGATAAGATGTCCGATCGTGGGAGCAAGGGTTAAACATGTTGGGATGCTGGAATGAATTCTGTCACTTTTTCTTTTCCTGTTTCGTTACATTTCATGGGGGTTTATTCATTTATTAGTTTATTTTGAACGTACAACTTTTCTTTGTTAGTCAGTCTTCAATTTTCTTTGACAAAACCACCACAGTTTGAAATTTCGATGGCTAATTAAATCCATACGAATTGGTTAAAAATGTACATTGTTTGTCTAGCAAGGGGATGCTAGCGAATGGGAATTTACCAACTTTAACGAAATCTAACTGTCATGATACTAGGTGGAAAAATGTACATGGAAACTGTATATTTAAAAAATGTAAAAAACTGTAAAATACAATTTTGGCTACAAAATACAATTTTGACGGAGTGACTTAGCAACGTAACAAAGAATATAAAAATACTTGTTTACCCAGAAATAAAGTTGATATTCGTTGTTTGCATAAAAAAATCTCTAGATACAAATTTGTGTTAAATTTTTTTTCGTCTTGCAAATACCTCTGATTTTTAAATATCATAAAAATAGTGATAACTTTGAAACGGCTTCACCGTTCTCCAGAAAACTATGCACGACATAAGAATTCTTTAACCTGTATGATAGAATGGATGAAACCAGGCTTCCGTAAATAAATCAGAACCGGAGATGTAAAACAAAAAATAAATGTTTGGAGAGTTTTTAATCTTTTTTCTTCTTACTTACAGTTACATAAAAACGGAAATTTGTTTATGTACGCTAAAATATGAAAGATTAAGCTTTTCATCGGATATAATACAGTTGAATTTAGATAAAATACAAACGAGTTATGAAGTTTTAAGAAAAAGACCAGATATTCACGAGAAAAAAGTCTATGATCCCAGCCTAAAAATGTTGATTTTTGGTTTGCTTAAAAGTGGGTATATAAGGGCTTTGAAGGGCGCTTTAAACGAATTTGCATTATTTTGTTCAAAAGAAATGGTTTTGGCATACTTTATTGGATGCGTCTTTTCAGTTTTGTAACTTTTTTTTTTACATAATCTTAGGTAATTAGATCCGGCATGCTAATAAATTATTTTAGATAAGAAAACAATTGACTGATATATATATATATATATATATATAATGACATTGGCATATATATGCAACAAAGGCAGAAAACCAGATATATAATAAATTTCTGTTTTCGTATTATATCAGACAGAAAACCCTTTCCATTTTTTCTGGCCTTGTAGGGTCTTTTGGGAAGAACGCTCGGACAAGCATATAACATTTTTTGTCTCAGTATCACCAAAAAAATTACGGTTTTTGTAAATTTTTATGTATCCAATCTCATTTGATGCAATCCTGGATTTTTTAACCTATCCTACCTACAGCAAAAAAACAACAAAAAAAACAGCTGATATATAAAAATTTGAAATAAATGCTGAACATTGGTAGAAAAATATATTTCCATATTTTTTAGCAAGAACTCTCAGCCAAATGTTTATCAATTTTTGTGTCAGTATCACCAAAAATGTTATGGTTTTTGTAACTTTTTATCATTTGATGCAATCCCAAATTTTTCCTACCCTACTTGAAGCAACATATCAACTGATATATAACAATTTAAAATAAAGAACAAAGGCAGAAAAACGTATTTCTGTATTTTTTTCTGGACTTGTAGGGTCTTTTGGACAGAATGCTCAGACAAGCGTCTTAACATTTTTTGTGTCAGTATCACCAAAAATGTTATGGTTTTTGTAACTTTTTATCATTTGATGCAATCCCAAATTTTTCCTACCGTACTTAAAGCAACAAATCAACTGATATATAATAATTTAAAATAAAGAACAAAGGCAGAAAAACGTATTTCCGTATTTTTTTCTGAACTAGTAGGGTCTTTTGGACAGAATGCTCAGACAAGCGTCTAACATTTTTTGATGTGTTAGTATCACCAAAAATGTTATGGTTTTTGTAACTTTTTAATCATTTGATGCAATTCTAATTTTTTTTCTACCTTCTATAGCAACAAATCAACTGATATATAGCAACTTTGAAATGAATAAAGAACAAAGGCAGAAAAACATATTTTCATACTTTTTCTGGGCTTGTAAGGTATTTTGGTAAGAACGCTCAGCCAAATGCTTATCCATTTTTGTGTCAGTATCACCTAAATGTTATGGGGTTTTTTTTACTTTTTATCATTTGATGCAATCTTAAATTTTTCTACCTACCTAAAGCATACAAATCAACTGATATATAAAAATTTGGAATAAATAATGAACAAACGCAGAAAACTATATTTCAAAAAATATTTTTTTCTAGGCTTGTAGGGTCTTTTGGCAAGAACGCTTGAGCGCGCGTATAATATTTTTTAACAGAATATCACCCAAAACGTCTCATTATCTGTCATTCCACTCGATAACCTAAAAACAAAGCCTAAACAAATTCATTTTTATTTTATAATTTGCTAAAGATAATAAAGACTTTGTGACATGGAAAATTGATAAAATTCCTGAAAGTGTCAGCATGCACTTTTTATCTCAGCCGCTATCAATGTAAGAATGTTCCAAGTAATAAAGACAAAGTATATCTTGTCCGCCTTATCTTTCTTGTCAGTAGATTGATGATATAATTGTCCTATGTCAATTGACTTACCGTTGTTCTGTGCGTTCGGCTGGGTCTGTGCTTCCTGTTGAGGAGGCGTCGGAGGCTGCTGGCTCTGCGGAGGCAGCGAGGGTATCCCAGTCAGTGAGCTGTCCTCGCTTGGCGGCGGAGGAGGCGGTGGAGGCGGTGAAATGCCCAGAGGGACGGAGACCACCCTTTTCAGAGACCTGTTGTTTCAAAAGAAATAAACCAATATAGAAAATTTTTGATATTGAAAAAATGATAGTTTTTTTGCGCAAAATGAACCGTGTTTTAATTTTGAACCGTTTTCTCTGTTTGTAAAAGCAATTATCTACGGTTTTTATTGTGTTGACGTTATGATCGTTTTGCAAGATAGGGACATGTAATTTTCGATTCAAATGTTCTTCTATCATAGGGCTTCTGGAGAACAATTAAACTTTAATGACGATCCGCATTTACTTCTTCTTTATTGAACCTGTACTTTAGTGGTTAATAAAATTTTAAACAGCAATTTATTCACTTTGAACGAGAATTTCGGTTTTGATTTAAACTATCTTGTAAAAAAATTATTTGAATAACTAGCAGTGGGTGGCTTCTCCCATCATGTTTCATTATTATGTTAGTCAATGAATTATCAACTTTACTTACTGTAACGAAAGTTGTAGGTGTAAATTCAATGATAATAATATTTTAAAAAATTGAAGAATGCGCCAAACAGTGTGCATATAAATGCACAACAAGATCAATTAAAAAGCTCATAACCTTCTTTGAATAAAAATTTGAATACATATAAAGTTTTAAATTCTATAAAATAAGAAAGCTTTTGATTGAGAAGAATTATTAGAATTGAATCGCTGTGTAAAATACCATACCACAATAACTATACAAATAACTTTGAAACCGGGAAAGTCTTCAATAAATTTAAGTTAGTTATTACCTTAAAGTTTTAAATAACTTAATTCTCATTGATTTTGTTACAAAAACCAATTTGTAACTGGTTAAACTTATCAGAGTTGCTCAATAGTGTTTCTTAACTGACATCGCAGTTATAATTTGAGTGATAAACAATTCCATATATTCATAAATTAATATATAATGCAACATAACCAGATATCTGAAAAAATTATCAGTTCTTTTAGTTCTTGTTTAACTGAAACAACCAGAAAAGTCCAATAGGATATTCAGGAACGAATCAAAAATTGGACAGTTATTATTTGTCTCTTTGTTATCAAATAAAGGAATAATTGATCCGTTTCTAAATTCTTTAAACACAAAAATCAAACTGCATTCACTTGCTTGTTTGTTAAGTAAATAAGTTTCGTGAACTAATGTTCTAAGGGTTTTCTTCGTTGTGGCATTTCTTTGAATTTAAAGAGAATAAATTAGTTCAAATTTAATTAGCCAACATTTTGCAATATATCAAAATCATCTGAACAGTGTGTATCAAGTCGTGAGTCAGTTGCGACAGCCCACTTGTCCAATATTTGCTTAACGAGGATAAACGAGTTTGTGTTTTGTTTAGAATTATTGTTCTTGTTTAATTGCGTCGATTTTGCGTATTATTCTTCACGCAGAATTTTTTTGAGGACCGTGGTTTCCGTGTGGTTTGGTTCGCATATGCCACGTTAGAGGTTCTGGGTTCGAATCCTAGCGCTTGGAATTTTGTAATTTAGTCGTTACCGATTTTTGTTTTGTTGGCCTGCCTTCGCTAGGTTAGTCTGTCAGACACTGAGGAAGGCGAAATGCCGAAATGCATCAGACATAAAAGATCCTGCCATTAGATAATTTGCGACACCATATTTTTGTTCTTTTTTCCGGCTGTGTGATGAACTTGTAATTCGGTCGATTTTGAACCCACTTTTATAATCAAATTTGTATGAAAAGTTCCAATTTTAGAGTATCTATCTCCCTGGCCAACAGATTAGCTATCACTTTTGATTTTTAATTAATGGAAATTAATACATAAACCCGTACAGTTGGGATTTCGAAGCATCAATATTCAAGTATATTCCAGAGATCCACCAGCCTTGTCCTCAACAAACTGTAAAATTAATTTTGTACTTCACAACGTGATAATTAAAACAGCTTGGAACGAACTTAACAGCATATGCTTAGCTATAAGAGTCCCCTGGACGCAGGCTTCTGACAAAGAATCTCAGTGTGCTATGATTTAGGTCTTCTATTGAAATCCTAAAGAAATATGTAAGCTTAATCTCTCCGACAGACATCATGTTTCTGAAAAGTCCAAACTACTTATTTCTCTATTTTTATACCATTTTCCTATCTAGTGGTTTACTATAGCACTCTAACATTGAAATATCAAGGGTCTGAGCAACTGGGAATCTTGCAAGGAGTTTATTTAATAAAGAAAACATAACATATTCAGTATGATGACGAGAATATTGGCATAAGCTTTCATCTAACAACCGTACTGTTTTACTGAACAGCAATATAAGAACATATTTAAACAAACCTGCTATTCTGTGATGTTTGGTGCGGTAGAGAGTGGCGTAGCTCAAGTTTCGCCTTTTCCGGTTCTTCTGATTCCGATTTACTGCCGAGTTCGGATGGCGAAGGGCTAGAAACGCCAGATTCTGCAAAAAAAATCAATATTTAAGAATGATAATGAAGAATGATTAGATCCGAGCATACCTGATGAATCGTTTGTCGCCGTTATAACCACGGGTGTGTCCGATTGTGCGGAAGACATGGAAGGGCTCCTTGAATGCGAGCCAGAATCCCTACCCTTTACGCTATATATGTCTTCGTAGTCGTGTTCTTCGATGATTGTACTTCCTCTTCCTTCGTCCTCCTGCTCGATCTGCGGCGGCAGCGGTGGCAGCTCAGTCGCGACGACGATCGGAGGCGTGGAAGGCGGCATAGGTGCTGCGGGCAATGACTCGAGCGGAACCGTCTCCGGTTCCAGTGTGACATCCGTTCCAGCTGCTGATACATCGTCTTCTTCTTTTTCGTCCCCGTTGTGATGCACCTCCACTCTCACTGTGAATTTTAAAATTTAGTGTTCCATTTTCGACTTTAAACTATTTTTTATTTATATTTGGTGGGGGAGACATAAATTATCAAAAAGCTCGTTTTTCCCATTAACATCACATTTACGCTCATTAAATCATAATTACAAGCAATCAGCCAAATAAAACAACCAACGACAAAACTACCAAACGTTGACATTTTCATAATTTTACCCTCAATCACATGAAACATTTAATTTTTTAAGTTCAACTTACAGCTTCATAGTAAAGCTTGTTATTACCTACAATTTTTATTTCATTTTATGTACGAAAAATATACATTGAGCACCTAGCACATATTCATACATACAAATCTGACTTATATGTCAGACCATGAGGCGATGGGGAGAAAAGTCAGCCAGTGCTAGAATAGTCTTTTATTTAGTTAGGGTAAGTTAGGATCAGTATAGGCCATCGCCGTCTAAAACGGAGAATTATGGCATTACAAAGATGAGACGTTGGGGAGAAAGCAAGGGTTAGTGAGTTAAGTTGGAGGGATAACTTAGAGTGATAATAGGGCAAACGTGTCGGACCAGATCTTCCAAGAATGTCTAGGTCTTTCTGAATCGTTATATTAGTGGCATATAAAGGGAGCGTTGAGGATATACCTGATTCCTTGGTATGAAAGAATTGGATTCGTTGGATGTTGGAAGTCCAAATCGGCCTCCTGAGATTTTATACTTTGTTAGGTGTGAATAGTGAAGATTGTGGTTCTAGTAAGCGTCTGAGTTGTCCATATCTTTTGTTGAGTACTTGACTCTTTTTAGTCTTTGAAGTACGTTCTATGTTATCTGATATCCAAGTAAAGCCCAAGGTAAAGGTTTGACGTCTGAGCTGGGTTTTCCTCGTTTAACTTGATCCACCACAGAATGCACCAGTCGGTAATTAGGTATCTTCTTGGATTGGTTCTGTTGGTATGGTAGGTCAGAGTATGTGGATAGGATTGTAGTCTCGTAGGTTGTGATTTGTGTGGGCTTGTCAGCAGTGCAGATTTTGTAGAGGATTGATCCTAGGATACTTCCTTGCAGAACGTCAGCATTGGCTTGATGTGTGAAAGTTCAAAATCTCTCTTTAAACCGGAGAGGAAGGACATCAGGATATTGGGCATGATACAGGTAACCTTTTAACTTTAAAAGGAGGCAGAGTTGCCACACTTGGTCGAATGGTGCCGTAATGTCCATAAATACGACAGAGCAATAGTTGTTTTTTAGAGCCAAGGATATGGTATCGACTACTCTAAAGAGTTGGTAAACAGTAGAATCGACAGTACAGCTCAGCAATTATAAGTAACTAGATTTTTCATTGATAAAATTAGGTTTCGCAGGAGTTTTTTGCATGTACCTACCAAAAGCGCTTCAAACGAGAGTCGATCCGTCACAACATATTTTTTCCAGGGTGGAAATTACGATTAGATACAGCCCGTGTATTATCCACGGCTTACCGCTATATCATCGGGATTTGTCTTTTGGACTCAAAGAATCTTACTCGGTATGACTGCTATAGTTCAAAATATTTCAGATATAACCTGGACATCTATATTGGCTTTTGCCATGTTCATTAATATGTGTGAGAAAGTAAATAATGATTATCAACTAAGTTGTTTAATTGCGCTTAGTCAGTTTTTATAGATGCGAAATTATTAAAGTAATTTTCTTGTATTTTCTTGTCTTCTGTTATTCAACCAACAAAAATTTCATACATTCTCGTCACATTTAAAATTCACTTTTTCATATATTTTCTTGATAACAATTAGATTTTTTTTTTCAATTGGCTCATAAGAAAATTACAGCTATGAAACAGCTATAAATAGTCTGTTTTAACAAGATATAACCTGCCGTACGTAAATATTGCCAATCAGCTTGTCATTAATTGGCCTTATCGGTTGACAAAGGCTTAAAAGGAATTTTGTTTTTACATATTTTTTTGTAAATTCAAATTTACAACCGACGTCCAATATTTATCATCAGTACCATATATTGTTGCTATATAACTAAATACAGATATGGCCGATGCATGGTGATAACGTGTAATTAAAAATCGTTTTATCTACTTTTGTTTTATCGAATGTAATTGACACATTTCGTATGCCACACCTATACGTAAACATGTTTTTTTTTTGGGGGGGGGAATAAAATCCTACTACTTTGGACTTGGACGTTTATATTTTGATAGTTTTTAAATGCAAAATAAATATTGTATAATTTATCGAAGCAGATTCATAAGCATAAATGAGAAAAAAATTGGATTTGCGTGCAAGGTTGAATAAACACTCTGCAATAATAAGGAACAGAGCAGAAAGAAACATAAGAATTGCTCCACATTTTTATTTTTAAAATAATGTTTTAATTTTCACTATTATAAATATACTTAAAGAAGGTTGTAATTATTAAATAATATTTTTTTAGCTGTCAATAATCTATTAAAAAACAGAAAGAAAATTAAAATAAGCTGTACAAGAAGTTGTCCACTAGTGTTTAAAGGTTATCGATAGAATTGTTTATGACTGTTATTTAATTTGAGTACCAGCAAACATGGACATTTCAAATCCACCTAAGCAAAGCGAAAAAAAGCCTTTCTAAGTCAAGTCCTAAAATCGACAGCTATTTTTTTCAAAATTTATCTCTGGTCAGCATATTCTTGGCGGTATTCTGCAGTCTGGCGTTGGACTCGTAGAAATTAAAAGTGGGGATGGTGTTGTTGTCTTAAGCTTAAAGGATTGGTTTTGTTGTTTTGACCTCCGGCACTGTCAAACGCACAAATCAACACCCACTTTTATTTTTCACAGTAAGGACGACGCTTCTAACTCCAGAATAACAGCGAGAATAGGCGGACCGAGGGACTGTCGACGTTTCATCGAACACCCAGCGTATTGTCACAATTCCCGTTTTGCTACAGTCTCGCATCTGCTGAATTGGCGAGATAGACCACTCGAAACGTGCACTGTTTTCCATGGGCATTTTTAAACTGAACTTTGACTCACTTTCTCCGCTAACTATTGACTTGCATTACCGGTCCTGTGATTCTCTTCATTGCCTTCGGGGTCTTGGCTGACAACGTCCTCCTTTTCTACCGGCTGGACTTCCGTTGACCTTTTGAAAACGACGGGCGAAAGATTCTCGGCGGCAGGTTCGGCGGCTTCCACCCTCTGAGGCCTGTAGACTGAAGGCTGCGACGTCTGAGTCTCGGCGTTGTTCAGAATCTCCGGCCCGGTGATTTCCACCGAATTTCTCTGGTTCCACCAGCAACAGATACTTGGGAAGATCATGTCGCGACTGGCCGATTGTTTCCACCTGTTATCTTATCTACGACTTTAGCAACTCCACAACAGCCTGATAAAATGTCTCGTAATCTGACATAGCACACTTTACCTACTGAAACTCACGGTAGAAGAGCACAGGTGTAAGTTTACGGAGCAAAACCAAATTTTCCACCGTAATTAAAATATAATTTTTTCGATTTCAGTACTCATATCTCATAAAAGAAAGTCATACACATAAAAAATAAATGTTGTTTGCACAAATCGCAATCACAGAAAATACCGAAGTTGCTCATGTGTTCACCAATGTGATGAGTATTGACCTAATTTCAGGTTCATCACCATACACAGAAAACAGAAAAATCTCACATTAACTAAATCATAGTGACTCCTAAAAAATATTGACGCCTTCCAATAAACAGACACAATTTTATTTTGTGTAATTGAGAGTAAAACATTGAAATGTAATGCCAATATTTAAAATTTTATTGAATACCCTACAACTAAATTTTAAAAAAACAATACTACCTGTTGTTCGATTTCCTTGTGACTGAGGACTAGGCTGGCTAGGGGGTGGTGGAGGAGGCGTCTGAGGCAGTTCAATCCTAGAGGTGCTGTTCAAAGTTATGCCAAAGAGTTCTCGTACACGGTGATAACCGGTGCTGAACTGGCCGGGTTTGTGCAAATAAAACGGATCTTGGCCTGTGCTTCCAATTGGAGTCATGTAAGCGTTCTCTTTTGTCGTGTGTAGATAAAACGGTTCATGCGGAGTCGAATAGTTGACGCAATCCGCATATGAGCACTGAAAAGCAAATTGGCACATATTAAAAAGTTGTTACAGTTCATGTTCTTTTATTTATAAAGAAGTCTTGACTAAGCAAATATTGGACATCAGATCATCCTGCTTTGCTGATTGTGGCTAGTTATCTCCCTCTCCACAAAAAATTATATTAATAGATCAACAGGAAGGAGAGATAAGTCAGTTTGGAGACGTTGTAGTCAAAATTTAACTAAAACCATAATTGATTTGTAAAATGCCACCTAGATTGCTAGTTCTTTCTGTGTTATACACTACTAAAACTTCAAATCAACTAGTTCATTTCGCAGATCAGAGAGTTCTCTGATTTCGCCAAAATCAAGCAGTTGTGTTTCAAGTCTCGTCGCTGTTTAAAAATTAATTTGAAAAAATTATATTAAATTTAAAAATTCACATTATATTAATTAATTAAAAATTACATTTAATTATATTAGTTAATTATGAATTTGCTCTCATAATTTACTCTCACTATAATTTATTTTTTAGACAGATTAAAAATTACCTAGACTTATAACATAAAGTATAAAATAAAAAAAATCTATTCTTTTGTAATCTTTTGGAACTGCATATTAATGTGATGTGAAGAGAGAGAGTGAGTGGGAGAGAGAGTCAGTTGCGAGACGGAAAATGTGAGAGAACATGAAAGAAAGAAAGAGAGAGGTTGTGCCTAGGAGATAGAAAGATCAAAGAAGAGTGAGTGAGAGAGAGATAGAGAGAAGGAAAGAAGTATTGAGATAGATTGGAAGATAGAATCAGAGAGAGAGAGAGAGGAGGAGGAGGAGGAGAGGAGAGGGAGTGAGTGAGAGGGGCCGTCACATAGATAAGTAGGTAAATATAGATATGTAAATAGTTACACAAAAATGACAAGAAATAGGTTCTAGATAAAGAGAAAAAAAGAAGAAAAAGAAAAAGAAAGAGAGGGAGAGAGAGAGAGAGTGAGGGGCAGAGAGAAAGACAGACCCAGAGTGAGTAAGAGGAGGAGGAAGAAAGAGAGAGCCAGAGTGAGTGAGTGAGAGAGAGGAGGGGGTCACATAGATAAGTAGGTAGATATAGATAAGTAAATAGTTACACACAAATTACAAGAAATAGGTTCTAGATAAAGAGTAAAAAGAAAGAGAGGGAATGAGCGTGAGGACGAAAGAGAAAGAGAGAGCCAGAGTGAGTGAGAAAGGAGAGTGAGTGAGGGGAGGGAGAAATAGGGAGCCAGAGGCCAGAGTGAGTGAGAGAGAGAGAGAGAGAGAGGGTGAGAGAGAGTGAGTGAGTGAGGGGAGGGAAAAATAGGGAGCCAGAGGCCAGAGTGAGTGAGAAAGAGAGTGTGAATGAGTGATTGGAGGAAGAAATAGGGAGCCAGAGGCCAGAGTGAGTGAGTGAGAGAGAGAGGAGAGAGAGAGAGAGAGTGAGAGGGAGAGGGAGAGGGAGGGACTGTACTGTTGTCATTAGTCATTATGAAACCTACTTTTATTTACAAATTTTATTCTGGTAAATTTAGAATCTATTTTTATGTTATTTTAATAGAATAGCAAATGGACCCATTTTACCTCTCATTCGTGTTTATCATATTTTAGCAATCAATGAGGAATATAACAGGCAGTCCATGTGGAATAAACGTCCCGGGGCAACTTCCTATGTAAAGCTTGTGGCACAATGCCCCTAACGGCACAGAATAATGTCTCACAATTGTTAACCGGACACACTTTCGTTTCAATGGCCCCTGCCCGGTCATCCCACCTTCAAAAAAACCTGCTGAAGAGCTGCCAATTTTCATAATCGACTCCGACCAGCCTTTCAACGATAGTTCACCCCGGAGCTGCTCAACTTTTCAAGCCACCCTCGAATTATTTTCCCGTGTCGAATAAAAAGAATTAGCAAATATTCATGTCGGTTGTTAAATTTCCAAGAGTTTAAATCAATTATGTATTAGAAAAGGGTATTAATGTGAGAAAAGCGTGCTGCTCATTATTTTCGAGATGTAATTAATTACGTTCAGAGTTTCACCATTCTCGGCAAAGATGACCCGAATAAAGATCGATTCATTGTTAGTTTCTGAATATTTACGACCAAGGCGATTAATTAATCGTTGATGTTGGCATGCTTGTTTTTCGTTAACTTGCGAAATTGATTTGGATCAGAATAGTTACAAATCCAGAAGCCTAATGATGAACAGAACAAAATTGGATACGAAAATAATCACCATACACGTGATTAAGGCTCATATAAATACATGGTTTGATATTATAAATCAAGGTTGAACACTTAAGAAATTATTTAAATTGCTTACGACATAAAAATCTATATATGAAAAATAGAAATAATGTAAACAAGATCTATTTGAATAATAAAAGATGCAGAAATAGCAGTCTATAATAATAACTACTCAATTAATTATAGACAATTTTTTCGAAATGAAAAATTCGTGTCGCGTCAATAATAATAACAAAATATAATGCAATAAATTCTTAAGTAGAAATAATTAGTTCTTCTTATTAATAGTAAATAGAATGATCTTTGGTTTTCTACCAAGTAAAACTAGATTCTTTAAAATAATTTTACATCTAATCTTTTATTACTAATGTTCATTTCGTTATTGTATCGTATGTCGTATTTTTTATACCATATTCGGGCGATTTAAAATTTCTTAAATCTTCCAGTTTCGAACTCTTTCTTAAAAATATTTATTTATAATATTTGCTTGAAGTTTGTTCATTTCCGATCATTTTAGACTGCCTGTCATCGTAGTATTTGTCTGTCATATGCTTTTCGGTATCTCAACATCTTCATTGGTGAGTCAAGGATGTAAGGAATATAAGGCTCTGACAGATTTATCCGACAAATAAGTGGACAGAACGAAGACCTTTTTGCATATAACAAATGTTCAACAAAAAGTTTATTGCAAAACAGATTAGTATTGGACTAACTAAAGATGATGCGGGAAGCCGAAACGCGTTTTTTAGATCAAAACTGCGAGGTTATACAGACAAAAATTATCAAAAAAGGACTACAAAATAGAAACCCTGCAAAGAAATTATGAATATATTATATTAATTTAATTTTATGGCTGACAATTTTAATTTTTATGGGTTTAGTGGTTTGCGAGTCGCTTAGTTTAGTGTGTAGAGAAATAACCTCATAGAATGCTTGTCTGAATGCACAGCTATGACAGGCGGACCACTTGGCACCGTCGACACAAAATGCTTAGACTTTCTGCTTCATCATGGACTTCTTGAACTTATTTTCCGGAAGGGTTCAAGGAAAATATCCCCAACTTCAATTTATGCTGTAGTTTTTCTATTCTAGGAATCCAAAACGTTTTTAGAAATCTAATTTAAGTAATATTTTTGAAGAGTACATTATCAAAAATACTTTTGAAAGACCCAACACTGAAGATGGCGAAATGCCGAACCGCGTCTGACAGACCAACTCAGCGTGGATAGGCATACCAAAATAATAAAGAATAAATAAAATGCCTATATCCTATATTGAACGATAATACTTTGTATCGATATAGGACGGAAATAACAGCGAATAGTCTTAAGTTTTATTTGTAAAAAAAAAATTAATAGCATCTTTGGTTTGGCATAATTTGACACGAACGACCTGAAAATCAGGGCCAAGAACCGACAACTCGAAAGAAACGTATTTTTTAATACATAATGACTTCAGATCATTAGAGACGAAGTGCGCGGATGAAATGTTGTCAAAGGTGGAAACAATTTCACCACGAATTACTTAATTTTGGCGTTGACCTGATGTGCATGAAACAGGAACATGTTTTTTATGTTTCATTGCAAAACGTGTTTCTTTGCGTAATGCCCTACTTGTTTCGGCTTCCTAACGGAAAGCTACATCGGCCGAATAAATACGAATTATTGTTATAATTTGCTCAAATGATTAGTGTTTAAATTCGTTGAGGGGTTGGCCCGTAAGAATTTTTACTAAATTTACAAAATTACTCATATTTTTTGCCATGTAGGTAAATATTAAATTGTCGGTAATGCTTGTTAAATTGGAATTGAATTGGAAAGCTAAGCCAAATATACTTATCATACCTTGACTGTGCGGAACGCCACGATCCCAACAACGGATAATCTTCATGGATTATCAGCAGATTCAGACGATGACAGGTTAATGTCTCGTTTAAGGCCTACACGAGGGTAGGATTCCTGTTTTTGTCATCAGTGCAAGTCATCTGCAGGCCGCAGAAATAATAGTTCAGAGGCGGGCATAGATGAAAAAAGTCAGAAGGATATTGCCAGGAGGCGAAGCACGTATTATCACCGATCACGACTTGCGAAAAATAAATTTAAGCAAAAACTCAATGTCAATACCGAATCTCGAAAAGAAAGATAAAATCACTGGTGTATTTATTTAAAATAAAAGTTAAAAAAAATACTATTAGATATACGAATATCTAATTATTCGCGCTATATCTAAAAGAATTGAGCCATAAAAAGACAATAAATTAATTTAACCTTTATTAACCTAACACAATCTACCAGACAGACAAAATATCGACATTTGAGAATTGGGCAAAGTTTTGTGAAATCATAATGGTATAAGGAAATCAGCGGATGACAAAACGGTGTAGATCAGTATTTAGCACAAAACTCTTGTTAAAAACTTGGAATTGATTACAATTAAATAGATAGTACTTTTATCATCGGTACTGTAAGGGTAATTGACGAATTATACAGTATTAGTTTAAAATTTTTGTCTGGAGGTTTTAAAATATTATTAATAGAAAACCAATAGAAATGTAGATTAATAATTTAAAAACAATTAAACCAAAGGCTACGTTTCGCCAAATTCATTTCTAATTTTATTTAAAACAAATTATTTTACAACAAAAAGGATTGTGGCAAAAGTGCTGAGAGTGATTGCACACCTTAAAAACATAAGTATTAAAACAATGCAAAAACTATTCAAGAAGAGAGAAATAAAAGAATAAAAATCGTGAATCCGCCGGTTTAAAATTCTTTGCCAGGAAA